TGCAACACTGAATCCGTCCGTCAAGCATCAAAACAGTCAAAGTGTCAATATGTCTATATGTCAGACTTGATCTGATTCACGTTTACCCACTTAAGCGCCGCTTCTCGGTATATGATATTTGTACGCTTTTCCTTCTTATTTGTGTTTTATCGTATTTTACTTTTATTTAATAAGTGCCGTAGCCCCACGCAAGTGCTCCACTAATTATAAACAGTGTTATACGTAAGTTTAATTATTTTCTGTCTAATATACTTCGAGCAATAATAGTTATGTTACAAAAACTAGTTACAATTAATAATTTAAACGACTGAAAAAACTGCTGTCCTTATTTTTTTTTTAGCTAAACAAGTTAGGATACATCCTATTCACCATGCATATATATTAACCTACATAACACTCATGAATTGGAACGTTATTAATATCTACATTGTGTAATAATGATAAAAACCGACTGCCAAAATCAACTTTTTTAAATCTTCATAACTTTTGTCCACTACTGCGTAGCTACATGCACTTTTCTAATTCTTTATATAGAAGATCTCTACTTTCAAATGACAAAGATTTCATCTTTGTGCAGTCTGGGGCACAGGTTAATACAATTTTTGGCCATCTCCTTTAACATAATGTGCTTACATAGACGTCTTTTACCCTCGCATCCTCCTTTTTATCAATCCTTAGAAAATATTACTGAACATACATCTACAATACGTTATTTTTTGTAGAGTATAAAGATGACAAGTGCCAATAAAATATCGATTCGACTATTATGGTGCACCACTCCTAACACAAGCGTAACACACTTACCAAGAGTGGTTAAAAGGAATGTTAACAATATTAATAGCATTGCTAGTATTAAGAAAACGAGCACTCTGATAGTAAATGGATACTGTGACCCTATAGATATCTAAATCTGTTATTAGGTTGGTAACCCATGAGTACTAAAATGTAATCTCTTGTTTTAAGTGAAAAGAGATCGTTTAAAATTTTTGACTTCCCGCTATAAAAATTGAAAATTTTCAAAAATCTGGAAGTTATTGTTTTTATACCGTTTTTCATCAAATCAAATCTTAAGGTTTTGAGGTCTAAGGAAGCCACCCTGACAATTTTACGATAGTGGCTGTATATCTATGTGTCTTTGGAACGGCTTGACCGATTGAAATAAACTAAGCGGATTTCTAAAGGGTTTCATCAAACTTAGATTTCCTATGCATTTCAACTAATCAGCTTTGAACCTTGAAAAACCACGCCGATCGCCGTGGGTCCGGTCAAAATCGGTTGATTCATTCGTGAGATATCGTTAACGAATTTCAGATAGCTCATATTCAACATCATAATTTGGTGAAATTTGGAGCGCTTTGCATTTGAAATTAGCAGGAAGTTCCAGGGATGGCCTGAGGGGTCAACCAATTTTTTTATAGGATAAAGGTAACAAACGAGCACACAATCCACCTGATGGTAAGTGGTTGCTGTGGCTCATAGTCATCTACATCTATCCTCGATTACAAATCAAAATGCAGATGCGTTGTCACCCGTGAGGACTAAGATGGAATGCCTCGTTTCCAGTGAAAGGGTCTCCAGTTCTCTACACTCACTATACGAAACACAGCAGCGTTAAGCTACTATTTCACGCTGGTATTCTGTGAGAGCGTGGTCGCGCCCAGATCGAGCCAACCCATCCATGTTACAACTATACTACTAATATATTTGTAACTTGCCTCTACCGGGGCATATGCAGAACATATATAAAGCCGTAGTAGCTCAGATGGTTAACACTCGTTGTAAATATAACAGAACGCGAGTAACCCGGGTTCGATCCCCGCCGGCACCAATGAAATTATTAAGTGCAAATTTAAGTGCTTCTTTTTAAATACTACCCTATGTTCAACTGTGTATGTTATATATGTTGATATCTTGAAGTATTGTTAAATATTTTGCAAATTATTTTTGTGATAGCCTAGTAGAAAACGAATTTCAAAATTTCATAGTAACTACGTAAGCACTCTGAATTTAATTTCGGTGGCAACTAAAAAAGTTTTAGTTTCAATTTTAAGAAATTCAGCATCTCCGGCAAATGAAAACATCATGCGGAAAGTTGCATATTACCTGAGAAAATAAAATATTTTTAAAGATATATGAAGGACCTTTTTATAGTAACTTAGATCATTTGATTATAATGAGAATATATAAATTATAATAAATGTTACTTTATGAAAGATATTTGGGTTATATTACATGAGATTGTGTTGAATGGAACGTAAAAAAGATATGTACTCATTTATACATACATAATACTGTATTAGTACTATTATTTTTAAAAACGAAAAACCAGACGCTAAGTAAGTGTCTACTCCTTTCTTGTCAAAACTCGTTTATTATTAATACTCGTACGTACTATGTTACAAAGATGTAGAATGATTTTCCAGCGTCTAATTATTCCTTCTTATTACAATGTGGGTTATATGCAAGCCAATACGAAATTTTTTTCGTTGCACTAAGATAAAATATACTTTCTTAGGTTTTGTTACCTATTAACTAACATCTGACAAATATCGGCTTTACAGGGTAGTCGGCGACCTGCTCGTTCCACGCCCCGCATGGGGCGCGACCTCTCAATGCCCCCGCGCACATCGATACACCCACACATAGCCACAAGCGATTTTACGTGCACATATGCTTAAGTTTAAGGATTTAAAAGACAGGTATTACAGTTGTTCATGAGCGGTTAGTCACTTAACATCAGGTGAGCTGCATGGTCATTTGCCTCTCTTATATATAATAATAATAATATAATAGTTTTAAAATAAAGCTAAGCTAAAGCTATACGCGTTGATCATGAACTGTTACAATACTAGGTTATCAAATTAAATCATTGTATCGTTTCTCCAACACGCGTTTAAAATTTCACATTGATTCGATTTCTGGAAGTGGATGAAAACCGAATTACTAAATTTCATTACATTCATACATCCATAGATACATCTAATCTGATATAAATCGTGTACTGATAATATTAGACTTAAAGAAAACCTAAACAACACGCATTAAGAAGCCGTGGGTGTCGTAAGAGGCGACAGAGGGAATACAAATCAGGAGATGAGCAGCAGCATCTTCTTGATAACGGTGGAATAATAATTTAAAACACTAACTGCTAACCCGCTAGCCAATTTATATAACGAGCTCCGTGGCGCAGTGGCTTAGCAATGAGTGGCCGCGCTGGGAGTCGCGGGTTCGAATCCCGCACGGAACAAATATTCGTATGGCCTACAATTAATTGTTACGAGTCTGAATGTTTGTCCGTGTGAAATTTATGTTTGTTAACTGCTCCACGATACAGGAGAAAATCCTAGTGTGGAGGTAACGTTTTTAAAGAAAATATTACGAGTAATATAAATAGTAATAGTGGTGATTTTTGTCACGATTTTAGGTTATATATATGAAATGATTGCGTAGTCAACAATTATTTAATGTGTCAGCAAAATTTCAAATTATTAAACCTATCTAAAAATTAGTGAAAATAGAATTATTAAATTTTGTTATATTCTTGCCATAGAGCAACACAGCGGCTTTTTGTTTTTTTTTTTACAAAGGACAGGCCAAGTAGGGGCAAAAATAAAAAACACACATCTTCTTTTTTAAATTAAAATGAAAAAGAAACTCACAGTCTACCCGATGGTAAGCGGCTTCTGCAGTCCATGGACTGGAGCAGCCATCTTAATGCATAAAATAACCAGAAATGCATTGTGACTTCTACAGACTACAACTACACTACAACCTGAAACTATACACTCTCTAGTCCCTTCAGATTAGAGTACAACAATATGTGGCGGCGCTGTCTGCGCGCCGCAAGCGAAACACACCGAAGCCTAAATCACGCTATCAAAATTCCGAATCATTAACAGTATATATAGAACATCTCCGAACTATCACACGGAGTGTCGGCCGCTCCCCGGGCAGAACACCTTTCCCGGCGAGAGATCTCCCCTTTTCCCTCCACGGTCACAGTGGTGACCACCCGACGTGATCTGAATACACGCATCCAACAACCTTCGGAAACATCAAGCTTCATCATCGTCACAAAATACCCCACCCATTCGCTCCCGAGCAGATATCGTCTGCAGTCTTCATATCCTGCAAGCCATCTAGCTTCACAAGGTTCATTGCAGCACTGGAATAATAACGCTTCCTGTTCCTTCAAGCTACTCTCTGTGCTATACAGTGTTCGGCACGGCTCTGAGCCTTACTGCTCGCCTCTGCTTCACGGCACTCTCGCAGATCACTGAGACGGAGGACACGGAGAAAAGAAGCTCTACCAGCTTATATGAACATAATCATCTTTTTTTATTTAAACATAAAACATAAACACTCACGCCTGCCACCCCGAGGGGTAGGCAGAGACTACAGACTTCCATTTAGCACGATCCTGAAATACCTCTCTCGCCTCCTCCACATCTATATATCTACGCATACATCGTCGTTTAAGTGTACACTTTCTTTGCCCCATTTTCAATATCGTACATTCGTTCAATAAACTTTCGCAGGAAAGGGACAACCCTTTCCGACACTTCCGTTCACTTCTGCAATATAAATTTGCTATATCACTCTTTCCTCATTCATTCTTTCTACATGACCAAACCACCGATGCATTCTTTTCTTAATCCAAGTCACAGCATCATTTTGCAAACCACACTCTTCTTTTATCATACAATTTCTCACCCTGTCCCTCAGATTCAGCCCTAAGATAATCCTTAGCGGTCGCATTTCTACTGCATTTATTTTACTCTCGTACTTTTGCAACACCCAACTTTCACTACCATATGTTAGAGTAGGGACTAACACAGCATTGTGAATTGCCATAGGTGCCTTTTTTGACACATTCTGTCTTTTCACAATAGAGTGTACAGCCCCATTTATTTTATTTCCTATTCTGGTTTGTATAAATATATATTAAAATGTAAAAATTAATTAAGTAAAATTAACTTTACCGTTTGTTCATTTTTCAGCTAGAGGCAAAAAGAAAAAACTGGCGATCATGATTCCTCTTCTGAACCTACTAGCGACATTGAAGACCAAATTTCTTCTTGTCCCTATTCTTCTATCCGTGTTATTGATAAAGAAACTACTATTAGTGGCTGCTTTATTGGTTCCAAGTCTACTCAGCACATTGAAGTCCTGCAAGGTAAAACGTTAGATTTTAATAGTTTTTAATCTTCCTTTCTTATGAGCTCGATAAACTCCACCGGAGCTCGTTATAACGAGGAAACACCTTAATTACCACGATTCACAGGTTTATTTTATAGAATAAGATTGACAAACGAGCACACAGTCCATCTGATAGTAAGTGGACCTGTCGTTCATAGACATCCACATGTATCTTCGATTAAGGATCAAAATGCAAACGCGTTCAAATCCCCGCGGACTAAGATGGAACGCCTCGTTTGTAGTTGAATATTTTCCGGTTATCTACATCCACCATACGATAAACAGCAACACATTAAGCTGTCAATTTATTTTCCGCTGGTAGTCTGTGAGAGCGTGGTCCTTTCTCGGTCCAGCTGACTCGTTCGTGTTACAGCCATAACATAGCTTCAGCATGATTCTACCACGTATAAATTGTGGTGGTGGATAGGCTAACGAAATGCCAGTCGTCTTGCACTTTTGACGCGGCTTCACGCACTCGCTGTTGTATTGCACCATCCGCGGTAAAATATTTTTAGTAATGTGGAAGCAGCAATAGGTAATGATTTTTTTATGTCAGCGTCATTTTTTTATTGTTTTCTCTTCTTAATAATAATCAACACGTGAAATTCCACTGCTGAACATGAACCTCTCCAGTTAAAGGACGTCATTGCCTTAATTAACATACTTGACAAGTGGAGGGGCGATTGCAGATCAGGCGTCTCGCAGCTGGGGGAAAATGGGGTGACCGACCCATCAATTCTCTAGTGGATATGACTCTTTCTAAAAGAAGGAAAAACTAAAAACTTCGCTACAAAAATACTCTTAGAGTTTGCTCTTATTAGAGTCATGGTCTTGTTTATACTTCGTAGAGCGACGCTGCAGCTATATTATGGTTGTAGCATGAATAGGTCGGCTTGGCCGGGGAAGGACCACGCTTTCACAGAATACCAGCTTATAATAGCAGCTTAATACTGCTGTGTTTCGTATGGTGAGTGTAGAGATACGGAGACCTTTCCTTACTGGAAACGAGGCATTTCATCTTAGTCCTCAGGGGTGACAACGCAACTGCGTTTTGATTCTTAATCGAAGATAAATGTAGATGTCTAGGGGCCACAGCATCCACTTACCATCAGGTGGACTTTGTGCTCGTTTGTCACCTTTAATCCACACAAAAGTTTGCCTTATGGCGGCAGCACGATTGGGTTGGCTAAACTGGGGAAGGAGTAGCTTTCATATAACAAACGGCGTAAATTTAATTTATTTTTCAGGGTTGATAAAATCTTATATTAATTTTGATTATTAATCGAGAAAAGATATTTTTAACACGGCATTTATTACCATCAAATAGGCTGTGCTAGTTTTTATCATAATTTATAAATGTTATAATTATGAAACGCTATTGGTGATTGTGTGACAGTACTATATTTGAAATCCGCTATTATATTTGACGTTGATTTTCCACTTTCCACGTTTTATAATCCACTGTCAAAAATAGTCTATACAAAAAAAATAAGCTTTATTCGTAGCACAACATTTTGAACACTGAGTTATAACATGACACAAAAATAACTTTCAAAAGATATCTCGAAGAAGAAGAAGTACAATGCTGAACAAAAGCCTTCTCCTGTTTAAGTTCCTCCTCTTTTCCATCCACTCGATGATACGGGGTAAGTAGAGGATTCTCTTACACTCCACTACACGGCACAAAATCATCAAAAAGATTAGGTCTTATAAAAATAACTAAAACCGAACAAAAACGTTAAATAATGTTATTTATATATATATATATATATATATATATATATATATATATATATATATATATATATATATAAACATATATATACCTATACAAAACCGTTTTTAAGTTAAAGTAAACTATGTACTCAAGCTTGTTTAAGTAATTACATGCGGGTGTTAGATGAGTTTGTAAAATTGGACACAAGTTGCCTCTTATCTTGTTATGTTCATTCTTAGACATTCTTGTAAATCCTTCTTGTAAAACAAAGATATTTCACTAAGCTGCTGGACCTCAGTTAGTTATAAGATTGGCTGATAATGATTAAAAATAAAAAAATTAAGTAAAATAGCATTCATTCCTAAATTCTACTTTAATTTTCTTGATAGCAAAACAAGATACGTAAAATTGCTTGCGTGTACTTAGACGCGCGTTATAATTTATACTTGCGCTTTATATCGCTGGTGGGTAGATGATAATCTCCCGAAATTATTTACTTTTATATTTTTTTAAAATAATATGGTGTCATACACCTACCGTATAAGGTTGTAATATCAACCACAGAACTTTTTAGAAAAATAAAATACTTATGGTATTTTATCGAATAATACGACAACCATACGTTTTGTCATAAGGACTGAGCTTGAACGAATTACTTACTTAATCGGAATGAATTGAATTTAAAATGAATAATAATAATGTGCTCTTAAATATTTACAAAAAATATAATAACAAAATAAGAATCGATTATTGACTTAGTAAGTATATTTTATTTCTCTATTTGAGAGATATTGCCGACATCAAGTTTAGCTTGGCAGCTTTTAAAGTCGCTCTATTAGTTCAAATTAGCTCCTTGAATAATTAAAGTAACTTTCTTTACATAAAAAGATAAAGCAAGCTTAGTGCTTTTTAAGTAAGGATGGCTATTCCTTCCGAAAAAGATCGTTTTTTAAATCAATTCGAATCAAAATCTGATGAATCGGTTCACAAAAAAATCGAGGTCTAAAATCAAATGATATCTCAAAAATCGATCTTTTTTCGATTTGTTTTCAAAGTTTATATTTACAATATCAAAAGATACAACAAATTACAGATTAAAAACGTTTTTATTTCTTTAAACCAATAAAAAGAGGCGAAAGAAAGAGCACACAGTAGTTTTGAGTTTTTGAATAGAAAAACTGTCATTCTTTATGAGTTTGGGTACATTCAAAAGTAGTTTTAATCAAATTGGCGATAGATTGAAAATGGGCCAAATTAAGAGTACCCTTAACCAACGAGCATGTATACGTGGGATTATGGATGTGGAGGAGACGAAATAGGTGACAAGATCGTGCCAAATGGAAGTCTGTAGTCTCCGCCTACCCCTCTGGTTAACAGGCGTGAGTGTTTATATTATGTATTATCATGTACGTATCCTCGTAGATGAAATGACTTGACCTCTCTCTGGAAAGCCTAGCTGTCTAATTTGAATTGAAACCAACTCGTGGTATTGTCGTACTTTTAAAATATTCATAGAAAATAGTAAAGCTATTTTGCTTTGTATTTCAAAGGGTAAAGATTAAAAAATATGTTAAATTAAGTAACATATTAAATTGATGAAAATAATCGTTCTATTCACAGTATTTTCATAAAAATTTTCATGGTTTAAATCATTAATTTCTTATGTACATAACCTAACTCAAAATATCTTTTTTAGTAGCTATTTCGTTAGGTTTTGTCTAATTGATTGTAATTTTTTGTTTCTTAAACTTGTTAGGGATTTGAGATATTTTAAGCATTGAAATTGACAGTAAAATGGAAATTGAGAAAATCTCTCTTTAGTTTTCTTGATAGCATCCAAAAATCCCTTATTATTAAACTTAAAATTTCTTATAACTTTTTAGACCATAAAATTTACTAAAGTTATGAGTAATTAACATTTTTGTAAAATAAGCAGTTGATGGAGATTAACAGGTTTGAAAAATACTATTTTGAGCTAATCAGCGTTTTGAACGTGAATACATACGCCCATAAGCGTTTAGTATGTCAAAACTGAATTAACTATTAACATTTTCAGTGGCATCGGGTCCGAGAAACGTTGTAGATTTGGAATAAGGTTTTCGATCAAAACAGGAGGTTCTTAATTAGACTTTGCGTTTTTGTACGTGAGTTTCGCGAAGTCTTCGTCAATTGTAAACTAATTTTAATGATTTTTTGGGGGTGAATTTTACATGTAACTATTTAGACAATCTTCTTGTTGTTTACCTTGTGATATTTTTTGTTCCACTAAAATTAAACACTAAAGAAATTATTTTGATAAAATAAATATACAATACAACCTTTTGTACATTTATGTTTATCTAAAAGATTATTGTGAAAAGTCGGCCAAGTTTAGTCTGAACTACTTTCGGTATTGTCGGCTTCGCCGGTAAATAGATGAAGTCTAAACAGGCGCTATCAGTTGCAGTTATCTATAATAGTTGCATAAAGCATAAGGTCTACAGGAATGTGCATAGTTCCTTAAAAAAATTATATTATTTGTACCATTTGGTATAGGGAGAATCAGTCCACGCGTTATTAAAGTTTCGAAAGGAAATGTCTCTGTGACTAGTCGTCATTCTTTGCATTTTATAGCGGGCTGTAGGACAGTATGGCAATTTTAATTTTAGTTTTTTCTTTATCATAATAAGTATTGAGTTATTACGTTAAGCGTGTTTTCTTATATTCCATGTGGTAGGGCTATGTTCGGTAATAGGTTTGTGAAAAACAATGCCTAATGGCGATAATTACTAACATGTGACAAACATAAATACAAAGTGTATCGGCGACGTAAAACAGTCCACTTCCCATATCGTGCGTCGGTATCGTAAGAAGCAACAAATGTAAACTGAAACAACATATGATCAGCAGTATCCTTAATTATTTTAACTATCTGTGGAAACTCAAGACAATAAGAACTGTACCCCGCCAACCAAACTTCAAAACCGTCGCAATTATAGCAATGATGAATATGAGGGAGCTTTGAATCAATAGCGGAAGCTTTTGTTAAGCTGTGGACGCTAATAGGTTGTAATGGATGATAAATAAGAAAAAATAATACGTACAATATATTAAGTTTCCCCAAAAAACATCTAATTTATTGATCATTCGAACTTGGCAAACATCATTATTAATATTAGCGATATTTTTCAGCATCATCATCCCATGACGCACTATTCATCATATTTTGACGGAGGATCATCGGATTTTAATTCAGATTACGGCGGCAGTTATGCTTATTCATCGAACGGCGGTTATGGAAAAGACTTCGCCTCAAACAGGGCGTATTTACTACCAAAAAACAGGCAAACACCCGCTTCTATGTATATTACCGCTCCAGGAACAACAGCCTGA